AGCCACACATCCTACCAAAGGAGGTATGAGGCCTTTACAAGGGACCTTACATCATAGGGAAGAATGGAATTGATCAACATATTCCATGTTTATGAAGGAAGAGAACTATCTAGAAGCTCTGCCTACAAAACCCTAATCTTAACCTAATCAAAACTACACCACAAGAAGGGAAGATCTTCGAATCCAAGCCTCTTCAAGCAATCCAATGCATCTTCAACTTGCCTTCAACATCATCCAAGAACAAGCAAGGCAAAAACCTAATCTAAGGGAACTAAAGAAGTCATTCTAGTTGAATTAGTGCATCAGAATCATCTAAAACTAGCACCTAAACTAAAATCAATCAAAATAGCAAACTATCTTATAAATCTCTACAAAAATTCCTAAGGGATCCTAATTCAATTAAGAATGCCTTATACAAAAACCAGGGACTAAATCATCTATTAAGTCCTAAAATCAAAATCTAAACCATAAGGTATCACCCATAAACCCTAAAAATGGAGCATCTAAAGGTTTCACCCTAAACTATCACTTAGGCTCATCAAAAAAATGTGAGGAAAATCTATCGGGAGCATGCATATCTATGCTTACAACTCACAAAAAATCAAGATCATAATCATCATCACATGATCACACAAAATTCCACAAAATCAAGTATCAAACATAACTATTTTAATATCAATTAAAATGTAAAAATTCCCATAAAATCAGAAAATGCATGGAATATTAATATTTTTATCTAAAAAAAAACTAGATCCAATCATGAATCCATGGAAAAAAGAATGGAATTAATTGAGTAGTTTTTCAATTTTTTATAAATTATTTCCTAAACTATGCAAAATGAAGAAAATAAAGGAAAATAAAAAGAAATCAAGAAACATACGTGGCAAATAGCAGAAATAACCAGTTCATTTCAATGTTTGGGCCAGAAAGGGGGTGTTGATATCAAATGCAACCCAAGCCCAACGCTCCAATTCTCAATTCACAAAATCAGAAACATTACACGCCAGGGTTCGAACTCAACCCTCCTTGGTCCACACAGCGAAGCTTCTCAGGTCACTGAACGAAACAGTGCGCTTAAGGGGAGGGACGTGTGGCTCAACGTGAGCCCTGGGATCCACAGACCAAGTCAATTTCTCCACACGAATGAATGGTAAGGATTATGTCTTCCTCGTTTCAAACCTGCAACTCACGCGCGCAAGCCAAGTCGCCGATGGCTTTTCCGGCCACCCCTGTGCAACCCTAGATCCTTCTACACTCAACCATTGGCCACGATGTCTACATGAATCTTGACCAGAATTTCCTCAGGAATCTAACCATGCCACTAGTTTATGCTGAAAACGCATGGTTCGCAAAAACAAGATCTCAACCGAAAATGGAAGGAACCCTAACTTGTCTCTAACCATCCAATTAACTAACCAGAATTCATTTACATCCTAAGGGGAACTTAACCACATGCTTCTAATGGATTAAAAGTGCGTAATTAGAGAGATATTTCAAGAATTTAGAACCAACCTTGAAGCTTGGATTGCAGTGGTTATGCGCCTCAATTCTCTTCCAAACTATGCAGAATCCTTCAAGGAGTAATGGTGGACAACTCTTGATGCTCAATCCTTGATGAAGCCTCTTGATTATCCAAAACGCATTTCCAACTTTCAAGCTTTTTCTTCACTTCACATCAATGGATTCTCAACAGAATTCTGCTCCAGAACCTTCCAAATTCGTTCTAAGTCTTATTTATAATGTGTTCAGATGGATATCAAGCCCAAACTTGGCCCAATTATTGATTTTGGATACTCACTTTTTCTTCCAAATTTCAACATGGATTGTGTGCCTTCAAGCCTTGCTCATGCTCTAAACTCAGTCCAAACCATTCACTTAATCATTAAGGAGTGTGATGTAATGGTTTTCTTCTTTTGGTTTCAACATATGGAATGCATATGATATGTTTCTTAATTGTGAAGTAACCATCCAAATGACCATGTTATGGACCTCAAATCAAAAATGTGGCAATTCCAATCTTTTTAAAACATCATCTCCATTCAAAATGACCACAAATTTGACTTGGAAACATGTTAATCTCATTTATTTTGAATTTTCTCATTTTAATTCATAAAAATGGCTTTTATGTGAAGTTTCTTCAACCAATGCTTGATATAATCCATATCAATGGACATTTGATGTTTATACAAGCTAAAAACATCATTTTGAACAACTTTCATGTTGAGCAAAAATGCATTTGAGACCTCTAAATTGGTGAAAATGGCCTATGATCACAAATGACCTATAATCACCAAATGTCCAAAATACCCTTGACTTGTCAAAGCCATAAGTTGAGTTCTACAAATCCTATCAAGGACTTCTAGTACTCTCTAGAAATCTAAGAGGATAAGGAACAACATTCATGTTGACCAAAACTTCATAGGAATCATCCTTCTAGGGCAAAAGTTTCATGCGAGTTGGATAACTTTCAAGCCCCCAAATTCACATACCTCAGATGACCTGTAACTTGTCAAAGTCATAACTTGAGTTCTACAAATCCTATCAAGGACTTCTAGCACTCAAATTAAAGCTAAGATCATGCTCTACAACATTCATGTTGGGGGCAAGATGAGATGACAATCATATCTTGAGCTAAACTGCCTTGAAGATAGGGGTCAAACTAGGGGATTTTACACTGTCAAGCCTTAGAAACCCTAGCTTGAGACTTCTCAAACTCTTCAATCATGATGAGTTGACCTTGGAATCATCCTTATAAAATCTCAATGTATCAATACATGATCACATGGCTCTTGAATTAGGTCTCAACCTTCTTCAAATCATCAGTTGACTTAGGGTTGACCTAGTCAAACCCTAACTGCACCAATCATGGATGAGGCTTCTTATTCTTGCACAATGACCTGTCTAGGCCTCAAAGTGATATTCAACACTTATCATGAGCTCCATCAAGACCTCAAGTCTAACTTCATGGCTTCAGAATCATCTGATGTTCCCATAACTCTCAAGCTAGGAGACACACCCTCTTGGTTTCAACCACTCTCTCTGAGGATCTTTAACTTCTCTGACAAGGATGTCAACCCTTGAACACCTGAATAACCTTCTTAGCTAGCTTCAAACTCTTGTGTAGCCCTTGATTGGTACTCATACCTCTTGATCTCCTGCATACATGTCAATGAAATACAAATGATAATGCTAATGTGAATGCAATGAAACATAAGCTAGGTAAAGAAATGTTGGGCAAATTTTGGGGTGCAACACATATTACACACCAATTTAATCATTTCAATATCCTAACATAAACCATTGCATAATCAAATCAAATCATACACACCAATGTACAACAACTAAACCCAAGCACACTAAACGCACACGATCCTCCTTATCACATCATCAAGCATCATACATACATTACACGTCAATCAATTATGTTAATCAAATTAAATAATAGGGAAATCTACATTTGAACACCGAGTACACACGATCCTCCCGATCACCTCACTATGCATCATATATATATATATATATATATATATATATATATATATATATATATATATATATATATATATATATATATATATATGTATGTCTTACCCACCAATTAATTATATCGATAAAATTCAATATTTCATAATTTCACCTTTCAACACCAAGTATACGCTCTTCACCCCTAAACACCATCTCTCTACCTATCACAACCCAAGGGATCCTACAAACGAATCACAAAGCAAAACAGCACAAAATCATATTTCTGTCACGCTCGCTGGCTCGTTCGCTTAGCGAAGCCCTAGCGAACGCTCGCTACTAGCTCGCTTAGCGAACTCCCTAGCGAAGGCAGACAGTATCTACTGGAAGGGTTCGCTACCCAACTCGCCTAGCGAACCTGTTAGCGAATGCTCGCTACTAGCTCGCCTAGCAAAGGTGCTAGCGAGCGTCTGCGATCTCTCAAAACCCTCACTGTTCAACAATGTCATCTTGCTCAATTCCAAGCCTATCTCTCTACTTCCATCTCCCATCCTATCATTACCACAACCATTACACACTACTCTAGTCATTATTCTATCAATTTATCTCCAGAATCCACACCTATGTCCATCATCAGAACTACAGAGTTACTCAGAACCTCACCAAAATCACACTATATGTGCACCCATTCATCAATGGCAGCAACAATCATAAACACATCAACATGCACACAAAATTCATCATAATCAACAACAATCAAAGACATATCAATATAACAAACATATTCATCAAATCCCTACGGGGTTAAGGAATCCCCACTACCCAATTTCATGTAAACACCAATCCCAATCAGTTTCTCCCCCCTTACCTTGATTAATGCTCCAATTGACGAAGAATCCCCAAAAATCTGACAGCCCTAGCCTTCTTCTCTTCCTCTGTTCTTCCTTCTTGTTCTTTCTCTTCCATCTCTCTCCCAAATTGGTTTTATCGTGTTTTCTCCTCCTTCTCCCCAAAATCCCCTTATATTACTTATTCTAATAATAATAATAATAATAATAATAATAATAATAATAATAATAATAATAATAATAATAATAATAATAATAATAATAATAATAATAATGCAATATTACTATTATTTATTAAATTATTATCATTATTCATTATATTATACTAATATTAACTCTATGGCTTAATAAAATAACCCTTATCAATTAAGGGCATCCACCAACGCGCTCAGACACACTCCCCACACAAGGACACGCCAAAAATACTAAATAATTAAAATGGGTGTTACACATATATATGTTCTCATTGCCTCTTGAAACACCCCCTTTGTAGACAAATATGTACCAAGTTCCCATTTGTAGTCTTCCATTCTTTTTGGAAGCTTAAAGGTTACTAAAGCATCCTTTACAACCTCGTCATTCTCACTGTCATACTCAGTAGGAAATTTATCACTGTCATACTCCTTAATGTCACTTAAACCACTCAAATTGTCCAGATTTACCTCACCATCATTATCAGCACCTACATCACTAACAATGACCTTTCCCCTTCCTTTTCGTCTTCCCTTTACCTTTTCCACTACCTTTCCCCTTGCCTTTTCCTTTCTTCTTACTTGTTGTATTCACTTCATCCTCATCAACTGCTATCTCTCCATTAATACCTATATCATTCTCTGAGTCTTCAAAATTAACATTCAAAGCATTGTTATCACTTCCATCTTCTGGCACATCTCCTTGGTTACAGATAACTACCTCATCTTGTTCTTGGTTACAGTTCATTCCTTCATTGATTTCATGTACTCCAACATTCATCCCTACATCCACATTCTCCTCAATTTCACAGATGGTCCCCACATCATCCATATTGTTACAGTTTGTCTCCTCTAGACCCACATTCTCCTCAGTTTCACAGTTGGCCCCCACATGACCCACATTTTCTTCAATTCCAACATTCTCTTTAATCCCAACATTCTCTTCAATCCCAACATTCTCTTCAATCTCAACATTATCTTCAATTCTAACATTCTCCTCAACTTCATCAATTGTTGTCCCCTCTCCCACCACATCTTCATCTAGTGTGGTATCACCTTCATTACTTCTCCTTTCATATACTTCACCAACCTCATCTTCAGCCATTATGGTCCCATCTAGATTATTAACCATATTAGACCCTTTACCGCACATATCTTCACCCAATATGCTCACATCTGGTAATGAGAGTATGGGCTCCTCAATAACATCAGGTTCAGATACAGGATGTGTAACATACAAATGGCATTCCTTAGTTAACACTGCAATTGTTCTCATCCTATCAGTCCCATTATCATTTTCTAACTGAACTATATCATTAGCAATCATGTCATCATAATACCAAATCTTATCTATAGTAGGATAACCTAACTCTCTTAACTTGTCCAATATTTCAAAGTAACTCCAATAATCAGGATCAACATCCCATATCTCTTTTAACCCTACATAACCTGACTTGGTAAAATTTGCAAACTCTCTAGAAAACTCACCAGAATGATGAACAACACACTTAAACCTACTCTCCATGACCTAATCAACCTACATATAGTATCATAAATACTAAGTAAGTTAGGTATAGAAGAAAGTTAACATTTTTAGTTACGTATTTTTGCAAGTTCGTACCTTATGATTTTTTCTGTAGACGAATGAAAGAACGAAGTTCTTCTTCTTTGTTCTTCTTCAATGGAGGTTCAATGAAGAGTTGTTGTCGTAAACGTCGTTATCATCGCTATCGCCGTCTTCAATAAACTTCGTCTTCAAACAAGTCTTGTTGTAAACAATGTAGCTGTTATCCTATTCTCTAAACCTGAACTTTCATCCAACAATGTAAGCATGCCCTAATACGTTTCATCTTCTTAAAATGGATGTTAAGTGTAACATAAATTCCACCTCATCCATTAAAAAGATACAGAATATCCACCTAAGCGATTTTAAGTCCAGCAATGCATATTCTAATATTTTTCCAACCAAAACTAACATAAAAGACTAATATATGTAACAGAGTATAAGTTAGTGGACCATAATGTCATATTTTTTCTTAAGAGACCAAAGCGAAACAAGGACTAAAGTTAAGGTAATAAAAGAGGTATTAAGCCTAAAATCAACTAACTATTACTACATTATCTTTCACTCTTTTATTATTTTTACACTGCAAAAATGATTACTAAATAAAAGACAAATGTCTAATATTTTCATTTATCTTTCAAATCCAACGTGACAAATGCCGTCCTTTCTTCGATTTTTCATTTTTCATTTATACATATATTTTCTCTGTTTTCACAAACTTTCCCATTTTAAATTTTGAATCAACTAAGAAAATTAATTACTAGCTAATGTAATAAATTATCCTTTGGTGTTTTTTATTTTTACAGTGCAAAAAATTAATAAGTAAAAGACAAATGTTTTATATTTTCATTCACCATTCAATTCCAATATATCAGGTGTAATCATTTCTTCAATTTTTCACTTTTACATATATTTTTCCTCTTTTCACAAACCTTTCTATTTCAAATTTTGAATCTCTCTCTCTCTCTAAAAGTCTCTCCTTATCCATTTTTGCAGAACATATAATCATTTTCATTTTATTTTAATTTCCTCTACTTTAACACAATAAACCATAAATTTTTGCAAGTCACATTATAATCATTAAATAACATACTCACTCTATTTTTTTCTTCTGATAATTTAATTCTTCCTCATTCAACACGATTTAACTCTTTTCAAGGTGTGTTTTTTCTCATTATGTGTTTCAGTGTGTTGCTTTAAATATTTAACTGTGTTCTTTTCTCAAATTTTGGTGTTCATTATGTCCCAACAAATGTGGAAGTACAATGTTTCAGTGTGTTGCTTTGAATTTATATTTGTCTTTTTTATTTGATTATTGTTGTTTATGGTTGTTGTTTTTGTGTTCATGTGTTTTCATGTTGATGCAGTTTTTGCCACTGTAGTCATTATGGACTAGTCACAATATCCTCATCAATACTTTTTGGGATGCAAAATTGGAAATAGATGCGTGAGGTTATTACGGCCATAGCAGCCATTACAACCTTGGCGTAATGTCCTCAGATTATTTTCCTATGGAATCTACTCCCTTGTATAGTCTTTTTGTAGGCTTTCTTGGTTTTGCTCCATTTCCCTGCTGTACATCTACAAAACACCTCAAACATAAATAACAATGGTGAAAAGGATGTAATTAAAAAAATTATGTAATAAAAACATAAAAAATATCAAGGAAATTAAACACTTTAAAGTCATACTTATCAAATACTCTCATATTTAAATTATTGTTTATCCTTAAAAATTTTAGCTAAAAAAGAAAAAATATGGATAAACTAACTTTTTAAATCAACTTTTAAGATATGCATGTACGGGTGTTTGCTCAAAATTCATGGTCTTTTATTCTAACTCTAAATCATTCAGTGCTCATTCAATCTAAAGGTTGCTATGGAAATACTTACTAAAGTCTCCCTCAAAGATAAAAATCTTGCCCTAGACTTTACTATAAACATCCACACGAAAGTCTCCCCTAAAGGTAAAGATCCATAGGTTGTTAGGACTTAACTTACTTTTGGAAAGAACAACCAGGTTGGGGTTATCCGACTTACTCCAATTAATTGTCTTTTATATATATATATATATATATATATATATATATATATATATATATATATATATATATATATATATATATATATATATATATATATATATATATATATATATATATATATATATATATATATATATATATATATATATATATATATATATATATATATATATATATATATATATATATATATATATATATATATATATATATATATATATATATATATATATATATATATATATATATATATATATATATATATATATATATATATATATATATATATATATATATATATCTTTTTTTAGGCATTGAGGATCAACTCATTGTAGGAATGAATATACTAGGTGAGAGTTACCTAACTTAAGTAAGCGCAATTGTTTTTCTACTACCTTTATTCATTATTTATTTATTTATTTCTCACGGTGCTTAGACAGTAACTTTTTAAGAATCATGGCGCTGCATTTTTGAATAATGGTCATTGTTCCATTATCTTCTAACTTATGCTTGTTTGTCAGTATTTATTTAATAAATTTGGCATATGATAGGATTTCAGGTAGAGCTTTTGTGAAAGAGATTTTATGCATAATTGTCTCAACAGCTTCATAAGTTTCTAAAATTTTTCCTCTATCTTTATCTTTGCAAATATTTGCGAAAATGGGATTCGTGTAGAGTGGAAGATCTACACAAGGTTTTTTTTGTTCTTCTTCCAAAACCTCACTCGTAGTTTAGATTTTCTCACTCTCATTGTTCTCATTTTTTTTCTTAATAACATCTAATTATTTTTTGCTTCTTAAAGTGACAACATTCACATGTCCTTTTGATTTTTTTCATAGGCTTGTAAGTATAAATTGCACCTAAGAGGGTGTGAATCAGGTTTTTAGAAATTTTAGAGAAAAGTAACAAACTTTTTGCCTTGAAATTTTACTAGTTTACTTTTACTGGTTTGTGATAATGGAGTGATGACTTATTTTTCTAGTTAAGAGATATAAGTGATATGCAGAAAACTAAATACAGTAAAGTAAATTGCACAATGATATATCCTGGTTCTTCTTTCCAATTAAGAATACTTAAGTCCCTAAACACCCTGTGAGAGATTTCACTATGCCAGAATTCTTATTACAGTCAACACTGACTCTTTTACAAAATTATAACACGTGTAAGAAAGCACCCCACTCTCTATACTTTTACAATATAAGAGAAAGAACCTTATTTAGACACTTGTTATCATAACCTAAAAAACAAGTTTACAACAGACAAATAGATGAAATAATGTTTAAGTACACATGTGTTTGACACTTTTCAAACACTTGAAATAATGTTCTTCCCTTACCTGAAACTATACGATCAAATGATATGTATACTTAAGTGCTCAAAGAAGAGAATAAAGCTTTTTATCTGATATGAAAATTATGCAGTAGAAAAAGTTTCTATGAAATATTTTAAACACTATAAAAAATATGTCAGAAAAGAGGTAAGTTTGAATTTAAAAATTTCCTCTATTTATAATGATCCGTGCACTTCTTGATTTTCAAAATCAATTATTGAAAAATGCTTATGAACAATTGTCATGATTATGAAAAGGTTTATATATGAAAAGAGGTGAAAAAATGATGCAAAGTTTCAGGATTTTTCCACTTTAAACCAGGGTTAATCGATTACCCTACTTCTAACGTGTAAAAATAAGAGAAAATGGGATGGTTAATCGAATAACTTGGTCTCTTTACTACACGGTTAATCAATTCTCCTTATTGAAAATTCAAGTTTCGATTGAGGCAGAGAGCTAGTTAATCGATTAACATGGCTTAGCTAATCGATTAACCTACTGAAAAACTTGGAAAAAAAATTTAAGTTACAAATGCCACTTTTTTCCATTTTAAAGTTAATTTATATAATGAATTTGAAACTTTTTCTTTGAGCATATAAGGACTATACCATAAAAACATATTGTACCTTAGACTAGCTTGATTAAAATCCAAAGGCAATAACTTGTTAAAATGAAAGCCTTTTAACCATATCTTTGAATTATATTTGCTAAGTGACTTTGAACTTTGCTTGAAACACTTATTTTATTGTTGAATCTTTTCCTTATTATATATATTTGTCTTCATCGAAATACCTTCATAAGAGATGTGTCTTCACAAGGTTGTTCCAAAAATATTCCAGCGGGAGCAGACGATGGAACTTGTTGTTGCGCCACTTAAGATATTCGAGTCTCTAAAGTTTTGTTATGTGTGGCTATCTATTCTACTTTAGACATTAAATGTTTATGAACATCACTCATACGTAAGTTATGGTTTTTAATTAGTTATTCTCCTTGGAGTGATATATGATGAATATTTTCATTATTATTTATAAGTTGGGCTTTACGAAAGGGTTTGTCACCCATTTTTCATTGGAAACCGGGAGGACAAACTAGTGTTGGATTTGATACAAGTTGGGCAGAGTTATATTTATAGGAAAAGTTGGGATGACCTCTCCATTCAAGATTGTAGATGTTGGAATAAGGATTTCCTTTTTGAGCATTATTTATATAATTAATCATATTAGGATTATGTTCTTCTACTAAGAGCATTTAGCATGCAGTACCAATGTGTTTAACTATTCCACAAATCTCACAGGTTGAAACGCTAAGGGCTACAACTCATATAAGCCTCAACTTTTGTATTTATGTGTTCTTGAGAACTCACCTCATATAAGCCTCCATATTGGATTATTTTATCAATATGGGCACATTCTCTTTCTCATATGCCGCATCTTGAAAAATACGACCTCGCGAAGCGTATCACACACTTGCGGGTGGACTAATAGAGTCGTCACCATTCTTTATTTATTCCTAAGGAAAAGGGAAATGACAATAAAACCCTAGGGAAAAGAAAAGGATAAGATGGTCGTTGCAACCAAATTTAGGGTC